TTAGGCACAATATAATATTTGAAAAATTAACATGAGTTAATGATATTATTATATATTAACAGAAAGTAAATAAGAATATTTCATTCGTTCTGGTTATTTAATTCGTTTGCACAATTTAATATTACTGTTAAGCTGTAATGCTTGATTTCGTCTTCAACTCTTTCCTCAAATCCGAGAGTTATATATTCATCTGGCCACATCACACGCTCCTCTTTATGAAGAAACATTACAACTTTGTGGTCAACGCACATTAATTTCTTGACTTTGCATGGTTTTGGTAGCGGTACAATAATTTTGATGCAATTATTAAAAACCAGTTTTGCCTGATTTTCTATGGTTTCAAAAACAAGGCCATTTGAAAATAGTTCATCTGGTATAGGGATAAGAAGTTCGAGCCAACTTATAGTCTGGATCGCTGCGCAGACTATCGAATAAGGGGGCGCCGAAGCTAAAACATTTCGAGAAGGGCCTAGAAGCTCAGGGTCATACGACGTAGCGCTTTCAATAGCAGTTCGTAGAAAATTAGTCTCAACGTACGTGTTGAGAGGGATATTGTTGCTCACATATTTCTCAAAAGTATCTGCAGCGTGTAGGAACTCTTCATCGTACTTATGCTTCTCATATAAGTCTTGAATTTGTTTCAGAAAATGTTCTTCCATTTTTTACTATTTTGCACTGTTACACTTTTAATGTAGTATTCACTTTATAAATCTAGTTCCACTGTGCGGAATAAGTTTCAGCGATGATATAGAATTTAAAACGTGATTTTATATTTGGAGGGTAGCTTGCTAATGTTTTCAACGATATGCAGTTTACCGCTTTTTTAGTATTTTTCGCCCACGAAAATCTATGGCGCTCTGTGCCTAAAACTTGATTAGTTAATTGGCCATAGAGGCTCTATTTCGGATATTATATATGAAAATAAATTATTCATATTTTTATTATATTTTGATGTTTTTTTCGACGTTGAAACATATTAATACATGTAATGCAGCCAATTCATCGAAATAAGAAATCGAATTATATTGATAATTTTCTATTTAAACGTTTCGACACTTGAAATGTGCCATCATTCAGCAAATCATGCCGCGAGAAAAACACGAAAATTAAATCATTTTTTTATATAAATTAATTATTATTATTAAAAACATAACGACAAATATAAAATAACAATTATAACGTTTAAGTTTTGGCAAAATAATAATAATAATAATAATGAATTACCTAATTCAAACTTCATTGTTTAACTTTTGTATTTAGAAATCCAATTTGACTTCTCTTCATTGAAAAAGCACAATCACCAGCACATTTTTTTAGAAAACACAAACAGAATTGTATTAAATAAACGAAATACTTTAAAAAGAAAAAAGATCACGTTATCGAAAAAGAATAAATAGTATTAAACTTGAAAAAAAAAACAAAATTATGTTTTTATGAATTTCATACATTTCAAACTCCAATTTGACTCTTATTCATTGGATAAAAAACTTCAATTTATTGGAAATACACAATACTTTAAAAATTATGTTTTTAAAAATCCCATACGTTCCGATTCTCAATTTCACTTTTCACAAACACAAGGATAAAACACAAATTTGTTGGAAAAACACAATCATAAGCACATTTGTTACAAAACACAAACACAGTTGCATTAAATAAACGAAATACTTCAAAAAAGATTACGTTATCAATAAGAATAAGAAGTATTAAATTTGGAAAAAAATACAAAATTATATTTTTAAAAATTCCATGCGTTTCGATTCTCAATTTGACTTTTCTTCATTGGATAAAACACACATTTATTGAAAAAATACAATCACAAGCACATTTATTGGAAAACACAAACACAAGCACAATAAATGAGCGATATTCTTACAAAAAATTACGTTATCAAAAAATAATAAAACGTATTAAATTTGAAAAAAAAACTAAATTATGTTTTTAAAAATTCCATACGTTTCGATTCCCAATTTGACTTTTTTTCATTGGAAAACCACACAAATTTATTGAAAAAAAAGCACATTAAATGAGCGAAATACTGTAAAAAAGATCAGGTTAGCGAAAATAATTAAAAATATCAAATTTAAAAAGAAAAATATATTTTTAAAAATTTTATACTTTCGAGCCCCAATTTGACTTTTCTTGATTTATTTTATTCTATTATTTTATTTTATTTCATTAAATACGCAAAATACTTCAAAAAAGATCACTTTAGCGAAAAAGAATAGAAAGAATTGAATTTAAAAATATTAAATTAAAATTAATATACATAAAAAAATTATAGACTTTAATTCATGCTTATTTATCTATGCTTTAGTTTATATATGTAAATGACGCCTATTCTAATCGATGAGATTATCGTGGGAATTCTTAAGTCATATATTAATTAATGTAGGTAAAAAACGTATATCGGCATCGTATAACGTATATTAGATTATTAAATAAAATTATGCACACTACGGATTACAAGCAAATCACTATTTATTAAATCCAATGAATGTTTTGATAGTTTATATGGCTTCACAATCCACACTCTTAACTAATCTAAGATTGCCGTCTGAGTTATCATTCACTTAATTTATTATATTTTAAATTATTAAAAAATTATTGTTTGGTTCTTATTGTCACTTAACTAAAAATATCACTTTTTACACTGAACAACACCAAGAAATATTTTTAGAACAAATGCTTTATATGAGATTTATTCGTTCTGGATGCGGCAAATAATCGCGCTAGTGTCGCATTTGATCCAAACAACTAAAATCTATTGTATCACGATTATAAATGAAAGATCCTACTGGTATCGGGAGATAAGTCAGAATCATTTATATTTCGACAGATACTTAATTCCGATATGATTTGTTTAGATTATTTTTCATCGAGTCCCTTCATTTGTGTCGTTGGAGTGATGTTTTGTTTATGATATAGGCAGTTTATTTATCTCTCTCTTCCACATAGTAAAACAAGACGATTGTATAAATCTTATTTACTGAGGTATAATTATATTTCGATATTTGAAGAAATTTATTGATTTTGATACAAACAAAATTTTAAATTATATTAGATAACAATAGGCTATAAACAAACATAGAGATTGGAAGATGGCTTGGTTATGAATAGAAAAGTTAATTAAAATTACGTGGAACTGGTATTTGATTTATATTGTTATTTTTACACTTATGTAATACACAACAAGAGCAGCAAACTGGCTATCATGTAAATTAGAGCTGTTGGATTTGGTTTCTACAATTGATAATTCTAGAGATTGAAATGCTAGATGATTTTAGGTAGAGATAGGTAGATGGCTTTGTTACGAATGAAGGAATTATAGATCTAAATATATTTTAATGTGGAACTGGTATTAGATTAATATTTTTGTTTTATACACTTGTGCAATACACGTAGATGAATAACATGAACAACAAACTGACAATCTAGTAAAATAAAAGATTTGGATTTGGTTCTTATAATAAATATATTCTTCGTTTCAACGATTGGAATCTAAATTTTTCAAGCTCTTTTTGGAAAATTTCGTAGCAAAAAATCAAAGATACATTGTTATTACATTTTTGTTTGCATAATTTTTATTTTAAGCAGGAGTTCATATTTCAAGAGGTTTTTTAATGGCATTGCTGTATCAATGAAATACTTGATGATATTAGAAAATAGCGACTACATATAAACAATTATAGAAATAAGCAAATGATTTGGTTTTTGAAGAAAGAATTATAGATTGAAAGATATTTTTAAGTGGAACTGATGTTTGATTCATATCATTGTTTTTAATGTGTGACTGCTATTAAAAAAAATAAACGATTCTTGTTGGGCAGATATACAACATTCTCGAGGGCTTTAAAACTGAAATTAGGAACTGATACATTTTTTGTGAAGGCAGGTGTAGCGGTTTCGGAGATACAATAAAAAAAGTAAAAAAAAAATGACATTTTGCGATCAACAATGTTGATTAGACATATGCACATTAAATTATCAGATGCTATTGCTTTGAAAATGTTTGAAAATTCAAAAAAAAAATATAGAAAAAAAATCAATTTTTTCAAGTCATTTTTTTTAATTTCAAAATCCTTACATATCTATTTTTTTAAAAAGTTTTAAAAAAATTTTGAACCTTTTTTAAAAAAATATATTTTTTAGTACTGGAGTTCCAGCAATTTGCCTTAAGGCAAGATGCCATATACTAGTTTTTATAAAATGAAAGTAAATTTTAGCATAATATTTTATATTAATTTGTAAATTGACAAATGAATTCTAATATCACTTAAATATATAAAATTAGATCGTTATCAAAACCACCAAAAACACCAATTTTTTTCAAAAAATTGGGGTGGGGGTAGTGTTGTGCGAAAGGTTGCACACCTCTGTCTTGTCTATAATGTAAATATGGATAACACTCAGTTCTTTCTCCGAAGAGACAATAGAAATATAGCAAATTGCAGACAATTCACAGTGTGCTGCGAGTTTTTGAAACCCCCCAGGTGGAGTAAAGCTCGAGGCCTCCGTATCCCTCCACCCGATATCAATTCGGTTCGAATCCAATTTCGATGAAAACGCGCTTACAAACACATTCTCTATGTTGCATTTAGACGCGTCAATTTAACCGAAAGATAAACATTCTACGCATGTATTAAATACTCCGATGTAGACGCGTCTATGTATTCAGAACCAAATTGTGTGTGCACCCGCAACTTGCATGCCTGATAACTTGTGAATAATTTGAATTTAACCCTTGGTAATGGAAATTGCTAGAGACAACCACAGTAAAAATAGTTGAAATTAATTCTAGAGATAATATATTCTTTATATAGTGAACGTATGTTTTAGCATCGATACAAAGCGTGGAAAAGAACCTTTATATTCTATGTTTTTGTGTATGTTACCGCACGATTCAAAATTTGTAATTCCAAAAATATTTATGGGTTTAATATGTCATTTCGGAAATAAGAAATACATTCATAATACATAATTTATGCAAATTCATCAATATGACAGAAATTGTAAGAATAATTTCCTCACATAGAGACTGGCCAATCTTGATTTGGGTTGCCATCTACAAAGCTACGCCGCCTACGAAGTCGTCACAACAAGCATGTAGGACTATATACGATTATATTGGATTGCTGTTAAATAGATGAATATATATATATATATATATATATAGTACTGTGATATATATAGTATTTAATTTTGATGTTGATATATGATTAAGTACTTTAAGGGCGATGCATCAAACAAAGAAAAATTAAAGATTTATAAAATAATCTTTAATTCCAAATGTTTCGACATACTCTATGCAGCTAAAGCAGCGCATAGCATTTTGACAAAAGTTCAAAATTTTCAAAATATTTCACAATTTAAAAAAAAAATTCAAAAAAGTCAATTTAAAAAAAATTAAATTGTCAATAGTCAATTTTTTTATAATACAAAATTTTTTTTAATTTAAAAAAAAAAAATTGGTACGGAAGTTCCAGTAATATGCCTTAAGGCTCGATGTCATACACCACTAGTTTCAATATTTATCTTAATTTATTAAATTTATATTACAATCAATTTATAGTCTTTGATGGCTAAGAGTAGAGAAACAAGGGCAAAGGAAAAAAAAATGAAGTTTGCTGTGAAAATGAATTATAGTCTATAATATTATAATAAAGTATGCAAATATGACTAAAAAAATATTTTTATAAACTATTTGTAACAAACTATACAAAATTACAAAAATAATTTTGCTGTTCACTACAAGTTTTAACATTAGTAATCGCAGAATTTAATATTGTGTTATTACATATATAAAAAGGTATCATATAAACTAACGATGGAACCATTTTCAAAAATTTATGCACTAACAAGATTTTCATAAGTGCATTTGTTGCTCTATTTCCATGGTATCTGAATGTAATCAAATTTATTATTTTTATCATTCAGAAAAAAAAAACATTTTATGGGTTTTTGTAATAGGCATGCTCTTATTTTTCTTTTCTCATAGAAATTTTTTTGGCTGAAGATTTAGGGTCAATTGTTCAGACGCATTTTCGGGACAATTGTTTAATCTATTGAATTCAAGTACTTACTCTCGAATATTCAATTTTACGGAATCACTTACATCGTGTGATATATGAAAATGGTTCATTAATTTTCACTCAATACTAATTACCTTTCCCAATTCATATTCATCAAACCCTTACCGTTGTGCCGTGTCGAAATTTGATTCAGAAGTAATTAAGTTGTTATTTCAAGTCGCTTTATCTTATCTTACTTAGACAATATCCTCCAAACCGCCAGTCAGTCGGTGCAGTGTTTAGAGACAAATCGTGTTTACTCAAGCTATCCTTTACGAATTAGTTGGAGTGCTGGTAACCAGTATCCTAAAGAATTTTAAAAACAGGTTGAATTAGAGAAGCTGGCCAATTGTGAAAAATAATAGGCTATTTGTGGAAGATTTACCAATAAAAATTATTATGCACTTAACAGTGGACACAGTATGGTTTATTAAATTATAATTATTATTTTCTTTAATGGGTCAAGTGGTTAGATCTATGGACTTCGAATTAAAATTACCATACTTGCCTTGCGCATCCTAATACTAAGCAGTAATGCCATCGGGTTACTTGTAATTTCCATAACAAGTGAAAATAGCCCTTACTCGACATTACTGTATCCAATAAAAAGCCATCAGTATAAATTCTTCCAAAAAGGATATATGTCAACCATTGGGTCTTCTAAAGCCACGTTAATCAGAAAGTCAAGCAAGCTTATATGATTAGTATATTTATGTTTTCTTTAATAAACAGCATATGCCTTTAATTTTAATAACTTTAGCATACAAATTTTTATTATAAATTATCATACTAATATTGGTAGCCTATTGACAATCAACAATCTAGAACTAGAGAATAGAGTCCTGCAAATGTGATGATCTTCAGCAAGGTTGCTAGTTCTGGTTGTTGGTTTTTTAATATATAAAACCAAGTGCTCGACTATTTTATGTGGCAGTGTAGTCTAAAATACTGTGATGTGCATTACAAATTCTACCACAATAGTTATTCCCTGATACGAATACTTGAAAATGGAAGTACACCTTTTATAGGAGAGCATACTTAGAAACTTAACAAGATTTACCGTAGCTTTGAAGCCTGGTTCTTGGAAAATCACATTTGATACTAATCCAGATTACTGCAATTTTGCTTGTGTAATGTGCGAATGTTTTTCACCATCCAGTGAGGTTAAAGAAGCGAAGAAAGCTAACGGAATAAAACCTAAGATACTGTCGATAAACTATCAGAAACTATCACCTTTAAGAGAAATCATCCTGATTAGAAATACAAAATATTTTAGACAGAATTTCGGAAGAATTTAGGAAAGTTTAGTTCATTTATATTTGTGCATGATACATTTTTCCAAGGAGCTGCTTTCCAAAGAAACTTTATGATATGGATATGTTGAAAAGTGTAATCCAGCTCTTGGACTGTAAGTGACTCCGCGAATTAGAGAGTCAATCGAGGAGACCTCTATTCGATAGAACTGTTGTCTGTTTGCGCCTGGCGCACTTCAGGGCTTTATTTAAATGCAAAACGATTACATTTGCATATAAAGTATGTTGTCAGCGAGGATCCACCGCCGATATATATATATATATATATATATATATATATATATATATAAGGGAAACCAGGAATAATAGATCAACGTTTATCTCCAATCAATAGCTGGGCATGAGTAATAATTGATAAGAGAAGAAATAATTAATAGACCTCAAATATATATGAAGTGGCTCTTACAATTAGCAGACAATAGTAATTTTCTTTAAAATTATGATTGCTTTGAAGAAGATTCACTCTTTGCACCAATTTTTCAAAAAAATTTCAGATGAGTTTACCAACTGCGGACTTGGAACTTAGAATTGTGATGACTTAACAGCCACTTTCGTAGTGGATGTTTTGAAGAATAGCACTGAACATCATGAAATGTGGATTAATTATTTACATAAATGTATGAGGATAAATTAATCTATCATTGGATCAAATTCTACCATTTGGATGTTTTTTTTTTTGATTATTTTTTATTTAGCTCTAACACTTATAGAATTCAGTAAATACTGCGATTGCTTGCATAGTATGGAATGAATAAAAAAAAACTGTAATGACACATTAGTACTGGTTAGATTATACTTGTTTATCCATGGATAAGATAAAAATATGCCGGTAGTATGTCAGACAAAATTACACAAAACTTTTGTTTTGCTTGTTCATTTACCAAAAGCTCATGTTGTATCTCACATTACAGGTTCAATATTTTCAGCTATTTTTTTAAATTAGGAAAATATGGATTGTTGCATATTTATAGTGTATTGGTTAGTTTTATAAAGTGTCTTGTCTTATTTAAAATTATTCTCTAGTACAAACTGGTCCGGTTTCGCCTATATTTATTGCACCGTGTTTATGTCTGTCTGTCGCAAAATAACGACTGCACGGGGTATGCGTATTTATAATAAAGATATGGTATCAATGGCATCCCTTAAAATATACAATAGCGGTAAAACAATGGATTGCTTCTGTATTTCTAAAGTAAATTCTAATTTCGTACATGACAAAAGAACAGAGTTAAAAAATTAGATGTTTTTATTTAAATAGAGGGGCAATTCTCGGATAATTATGGTGATGGTATGTTACGTTCTAATTGTTAGGAACGAAATGTCTAAAAGCTATGTATTTGCTGTGCTATCAGGCGTGTTGCACATATAAACTAACCTACAAAACGCACATACGTCAGATAAGCTCCTTTAGAGATTTTATCATAAGTGCATCTTTCGGATGTGTTTTGATAACACATACGTGAAGTTAGGTTTTATGCGCAAATACGTGAATTTTTGACAGTTTGTTTTTACCAATTCATAAGAAAATATATCTGTAACATAGGTTTATCGTAACATTTTCATGTCATCTGAGAGTTGGCCCCAGAGTTTTTATCTCGTTGTCGTTGGTCGATATTTAAATTTTGTGTGTTTCTCTTATATATTGAATTTAAATTCTAATCTATTGAATTAAAACAACAGTTTTTTTAGTAGACAAATATTTTTCAACTATTTAAGGAATACACTTTGTATGTTTAACATATATTTTTATCTAAATTTCTTAATTTAACTTTGAACTATTGTTTTTATCATTAAAAAGCAAATTGGCAATAAAAATGTATTTTAATAAAAAAATATCAAGTTTACTTTCTTACTAGTCCGCGATTACCAATTAGTTTTGTAACTTATTGGTCATTTTCAAGCCCACAGCTTTTATTGTACCATATAATGTTTTAATTTAAACATGTTACGTTTCAATGTAATTACTATAATAACAAATATTTCATAAACTAATTTGTGTAATATGATATAATATTAAACAATTATTAGAACGAATATGAAATTACATTCTCTGCATTTAATTTGATAAATGTTTACTGATCAATTTAAATGTTTGTTATGCAGGAGTGGGATTGTTGCCATCCATTTCATGAATCGTATAAAAAAATATTTCTAATAGAAATTTGTTAACAAATATTGTAATTTATATAAAAAATATTAATCTGGATATATTAATTAAAAATATTAATTTGATATAGTTGAAATATTTATATAAATTAATCTATTACTGATACGTTTGTTTCTTGTGAATGTAATACGATTCACTAAAAACAAAGATTGCTTGAGCCATCTTCGTTTTTATATAAACAGAGCTATTGATAAAAATCACATTCGTTGAACGCTTTTATCATTTTAACAACTGCATAAATAAACTTTTATATATTTTTAAAGTTGACAAGTTTACATGCGTTATATCGATTTCTACATCCACTTGAATTGATACAATAAACAAAAATGATAAATGCGTTTTTGTAATGCATGTTTTTCAATAGAGGCCAAATAAATTTATATAATGAATGTTTTGTTCAGATTTGATATTCATAACTATAATTAAGTGAATAATTAATGAACATTAGCTAAATTTGTTTCCATTTTTTTGTTTCGATCAAATGAAATTGTAAAATCAATGCGAATATTTGAAATATTTTTGTCTTTATCAATGTACAAAAATTCGTATTTTGCT